ATTCGAATCTAGATTCAAGATTCCAGACTCGTTCTTTCTTATTTTTCCAGGAAGGGTATCTCTCATTAAAAATCCCTCAAAGTATGGTATTTTGAGAATTTTCACATATTCGCGCAAGTCAATATTAGTCAGTGGTCGGCAAGGTAGCTTTATCGGGAGTTTTTTGCGTATGGCTTCAAAACCATGCCATAGCCCTTATATGGTCTCAAATATAGCCCTTTTTCAGAAGGTGGAGGTGCCGCGGGTATCGCCAAAGCGGTTAATGATGCGAAAGCTGATCGGGAACGACTAGCTGAAGAACAGCGACATAATCGAGTAAAGCGTGAGTCATCACAATGATGCGGATATAGTATGAGTCATCCGAATAATGCGGGTATAGTATGAATCATCAGAATAATGCGGGCAGCAGATGCGGGTATCAGATGTTTGGTTTTGCAAATATGCGGGCAGCGGATGCGCATGCGGGTACCCCTCTACTGAACGACATGAAATCGGGTAAGAGCCAGCGTACTTCAGTTCAGTCTTGAGCGAGCCTCAGTCCTCAAGTTTCTCCAGCGGGTTAGGACCGGTGTATTTTAGTTCAGTCTTGAGCTAGTCTCAGTTCATACGTTTCTTCAACACGTTCGAGTTCACTAAGTGATAATGAAGTGCGGTTATTGTGGCAATGAATTTTCTTCAACGAGCTCTCTATTCCGGCATGTACGCAAAAATTGCAGGAATAATCGAGATGTGATGGATCACCGGCCAAGAAGATAAAGCCCAATAGTGTGGACGATCAGCAAGCATCTACTTCGAACAACACATTGTTCAACAATTTTCCTATGCAGGAACCTATTACTCAGGGTCCTGAAAAGCGAAAAAGAGTAGATCAACCTGTTGAAAATGATTTGGGGGATGAGATAGTGAAATTTCGTTGTGCTCTCAAGAACAGGATAGCCACCTATCGATTTTCCAGTGACAAAGCCCTCACCGATCTTCTCAGTCATCCAGTCATGGACATTGAAAATGAAAACATTTAACAAGATGGAATAATGTAAAGTACCTCAAAACCTAGAAAAGAAATCATTGAGTTACGCAGTGCATCTCTACAAAGCTTCCCCATTACCTATTTTCAGAATTCACAATATGGAACACGAAAAGGCAAATTTTCATGTTACAGTAGACTCATCAAGAACAAGATTCTCTCCAGTGGTAGGAGGATATCCTTGATCAATTGGTGGATCAGGATAGTCTGCGGTGGCAGATGGCTCTTGATTTTCTTGATCAGCAAGTTGATATCCAGATTCTTGATTATCCGATTGGTGTTGGTATGAGGTGAGGTCATTTTCATTGAGCATTGGAGGAAGTTCCGGTTGTATTTCTACTTGGCCGTTGAGAGCCAAGTGTTTAAGGGACACGGCTGTCTGCCTTCAATCTTCTAGCCTGCCTCGGGCGTATTGCGGATTCACTTCTATGAGTTTCACTTCTTCTACCAGTGGGTCAAATTTACTTGATCTCACATGCATGTTTCTTCATGAGTACTTCAGAAGAAGGATCTAATCAGGAATATGATAGAGAGCAGTAGTTGGGAGATCTTCGATTATGCATGAAAATCCTTTCATGGGGTGTGTCATTACTTGCTGTGCAAAGGAGGGATCTGATGGAAAGAAGCGCATCTGGGAGAACCATTTCCCCATTGGATACTTCGAAATTCCTTTGTTTCAGGGCGAGAGACACCGGTCGCCAAATTGTGCCATTTTCGCACTCTATCTGTCTATTTCTGAGGGGATTGTACGGAGTTGATTAAGAGGTTGCCACACCGCGTGTGTGAATAGAATCTTGAAATTCTTTGGAGATGAATGATGCGCCTCTATCCGTGTGAACAATGGAAGGGACGCCGAACAATGAAAACAAGTCAACGAGACAATTGATCATATTTGATGAAGTCATGTCTGAACAAGGGTACGCATATGGAAATTCTGAATACTCATCGATGATTTTAAGAAGATACTCATTACTAGACTAAGATGGAAGTATAGGCCTTGGATGAGTATCGTTGATGATATATGAGTTATTGTTTTTATAGAACCTTGGTTTCACTGCGTTACACGAAGGGCAAGATGCAGTAACTTCACGCACTCCTCCGACAAAATGGAAGGTAATGAGTTCGCACCCAGTGTATCATCCGAGTTACACCAGGATGACACATATATATGTTCATATGGTTCATATGTCAAACATAAACAATACAGAGCGCTGGTCGGTTATTATCTGAAAATGACGAACCATCAAATAATGTCTCCATTTCTTCAAGTTGTAGTGATAAACCTTTCTAGGCAATGAAGGCTTTATTCATCATAAAACTTATGTGAAAGTAATACGAATAATAAGACGTCAAAATGTCAGAATAACATAAACTGATAACAGATTAGTTGATTATCGAATATCACTACACAGATTGATTTGTGCGTAGGATAAATTACGTCATCGGTATTTTTTCAATGGTATTTTGTGAGGGCACCGATTTTAAGGGGCGCTCTATAAAACGATATGTCCCAACTGTATTTGGGTATAAAACTATCAATGTTCTGAAGGAACTAATTCAAATTGGAATCAGAAAGTGTGTTGCATAAAACTTAGTCATTGAAACTACCCCCCGACATCCACTATTTTTTCTTTCAAATTAAAACCCTCACATTACTGTGATACGCCCAAGATAATGTCGAATCAACAACTTGATAGCATAGCATATGAGGAATTTTCTCCATCATCAACATGAATCTAGAGACGGAATCAGACAACTGATGTACTAGACATCTGAATTCCGAATAACCAGTTTGAGAAAAACTGGATTGGGAATATTGGCCCTATACTATGGCCAGCTTGATCCCTAGATTTATCCCCCTCGAATTTTTCTCCATAGGATCATTCGAAACAAGAAGTGGTATGTCCTGTACGATGCCCAACAAAATTGCTTGAACAAGAGAGGTTTTGCTGAAGTGTGACGAAATAAATTGGGTTTCTGCCAGAAAGTCATTAGTCACCTCATGGCTATCAGGCTCATTTCACGATATGCCTCTGACAAATTGAAGAACCTTCTTCCGTCAGCTACGTTCCCTACAACAGCAGCGTCTGTGTCCACGGGGTCTTTCTCAAGTACACCTTGCTGCATAATGATCAATCCATCAGATTTTTGTCAGAATTGAAATTCTCACACTCAGAACTATCAATCTACGATGTGTTAGAAACTTCACCAGAATCGGAAAATAATTGAGAAGGTACACGGCGACAATTTTACTAAATTTGCTGCTAACCGGATTTTTTTGTCGTCGAGATAATAAAGATGGAAAAATGAGGAATATTCTTTCCTCAGCTACGATCCCTACATGATCCTGGCCTACAACATGAGCGTGGGCGTCCTCGAGGTCTTTTTCACCCACACCTGGCTTTACGGCCAGACCAAGACACTGCTCCTGTTTGTAAAATCATCGATGCTATATTAAAACAATTATATTCCCCTCAGAAATGGAAAAATGCCAACGTTGTGATGACTAAAAAGCAGGGCCAGGAGAATGCTCTTCCGCAGAGCGCGTAGACTTATTCTGTTTAGGAGTACGTTCTTAGATGGAAGATCGATCTGAATCCTGCGATATTTTTCAATTCTTTTCCTTTTTTCGAAATCAGAATATCAGGGAGGCTGTCAACCGTCAATATTGTTTTTTCAGTTTTTTTGTTTCATGATAGACATGAGGATGAAACGGATTCTTCACTGGTCTGTATCCAAGAAAGGCATACATCGTACAATTACTGACAAATAAAAGAACCTTCCTCCCTCAGCCTGCAAAAGCAGCGTCGACGTTCTCCAGATCATCCCCACACACCCTGGCTTTACGGCATCAAACTGGAGATGAAGAACAAGGCGCTGCACGCGTTCGTAAAATCATCAACGCTATATTAACATTCATATACTTTCTTTAAATATTGAAACATGCCAAAGTGATGTTTATAAAACCAGGGTCAGGATAATGCTCTTTCGTAAAGCTATCGTCCTATATCAGTCTCCTATACTCTTCATCAGAGATAACTGGCCACTCAACTGAACTACAAGTCTTGAGACTCATCAAAAACACAATATCATCGAGGAATCATGGACAAAAGACCCGTCTTGCTTTCCTTGGCATAGCGAAAGCATTTGGTGAGGTGTGACATGACGGTATTTTGTACAAAATTATCGATATGGGCATTCCTGATGATTTGATCCAGTTGAAGTGTTGATTTCTGGAAAATCAATCATTCCAAGTGGAACATCATGATCAACCATCTGGTTTCAAGTCTTTTGAAGCTGGTGTGTTCCTAAGGGCGTAGTTTCATCGCCACTGTTGTACAGTCTGTATACTATCGAATTTCCAATAGGGCCAGTGATGGGCAAAATGTCGCTTTTTGCTGATAATACGACAACTCTTGCATATTTTAGATATTTCGAGCAAGCAGCTATGAACCTTCAAAGCGCGCTGACTTCTATTCAGGAGTAAATTCTCAGATGGAAGATCAAACTGAATCCTGCGAAACTCCTTGATTTTATTTCTTCTTCAATAACGATCACTGGATGAAATATCAGGAAGGCTGTTCGCAACAAACGTCAATATTTCTTATCAGTTTTTTTTTCATGATAGATATGAGGATGCAAGGGACTATCCCCTGGTCTAAATTCAAAAAATATGGAGAATGCATTCTCAAACTGATGAAAAATAAGAAGACTTCTTATTTCTTCAGATACCTACGATCCCTACATGATCCCAGCGTACAACAGCAGTGTCAGCCTTTTCTAGGTCTTTCTCACGCACACCCAGGACTAATGATCATGCCATCAACTTTTTTGAAAAACTGAAATTCAGGCTATACTATAATCTGACAAGAATTGAAGAAATTTTAGGGCGATCCATTCGACTGGATTTATTTCTGGCTGGTTTTTTACCGATGACATGATAAAGATGTGAAATGAAGGAATCTTCTTCCCTCAGCTACGATCCCTACATGATCCCGGCCTATAACAGCAGCGTCGGCGTCCTCGAGGTCTTCCTCACTCACACCTGGCTTTACGGCCTGTCGTCCTTCCACAGGACCAGAGACATCAAGCTGGAGCTGAAGAACAAGACGCTGCACGCTTTCGTGGAGGTCGGCACGGGACAATTGAAAGGCACCAGCCAATGGGAGGTGTCTCTGGTGGCCGGGTTGCTGTCCGAGTTCGGGTCGGTGGAATTCACCGTCGACTATATCAAGGTGAGGATTGTGCAACAATCGAGTTCTGTTTATTTACGATTATGATAGATTGATGTTCTGACGGAATATGATTCTGATGGGTTATTGTCGCGAGTAGATACGGTTCTGGTGAATTTTGATCTCCAATATAGTACAGTTTTGATCTTGGTATTGTATATAAGGTGATTCAAAATTCGATGTGAATATTACAAGGACCTATTGTTGGAGTAAAAATGAGACTTCTTCTTCATGTGAACATGTGTCCCAAAATAGGCCCTCCAGGTTTCAACCTCTGTGAGTAAGGTAGAAAAAAGTTTACTCAAAATTGTGACTGAAATAACGGATCAACTCTTCTGTAAATTGGCATTTGTTTTTGCTTCAAAAATAATGTTAACCCAGTTTTATGGGGAGTTGGAAGAAGTCCACCCTTTGATAGGCTCAAATTTAACGTTCAAAAAGAGGAACTTTAACTTTGAATAGAATTATCTTGTGAGAATTCAGCCCGTTGCATCATCATAAAACTGATAGAAGAAGAAATCATGACATTGTTTTCGAACGCAATGGGTTGAACGTTTGCATACGGAGGTGATAATATGTCGGAACGCATTTTTGAGGTGTGCAGTTCTGGAATACTTGCACTTGATTCGTCGTTATTATGATCACAATTTCAGTTACTTTTATTTGTATCCAACTCACAGAGGATGTAGCTCGGTAAGAGTGCATTTTAGGACACAATCATGTTTAGCCAGCAACGTGAGTTTTTCTGGTTATATGATCGGGTTCTTAAAAAAAAAATCACGATTCATCCGGATTTTGGTTGTTTTCCTATTTCGAGACATGATTGATCACTTCCACAAATACAATCAAATTCACGAAATACAAACAGTTTGTCAAATTTCATAAAATTATTTTGAAATGAATATGAAATGCCAGTACCAGGCAGAGGAAGGTTAGATAATCATAAACTCTTATTCTTCTTCATAAAATGATGTCATTAACGGTACCTAACATTTAACAAACAGTGTTGTCAGCTCAAAAATTCTCCATTTTTCAACAATATTGCTGAGTTGTTTATAATTCCTCTGGTGTGCCCCCTCTTCAATTGTTTCGTCAGACTAGCTCTCGATATGAACAATTGAATGCGAGTGTGGAACGTTGGGTTCTCATATTCGATGATAGATGGCGTGATTGATAGACAATTTCTTGGAAAATTTCAAAATGCGTTTCGAATGTTAGTAGGAAGTTGAACTAGACTTTCGAGGATGTGTTTCTATTCTTTCGGGATCCAAAGAGTCCCGTTGATGATGCGAGAATTCGATAAAAGCTGATAAGAAGCATCTAGGGACAGGACACAAAAGAGACAGAGCGCAACAAATAATCCGAGCGGATGTTGATTTTGACATATCTGTCACGAGTGTCATGTTCTCGACATATTCAAGATTTTTTTCGAATTTCAAATAGAAATATTATAGATTATGAGTGAGTATATAATTTTTTCATTATGGACTGACTGCTGCAATGTGTGAGGATTATTTGAAAATCCGAACATTCGTTTTATTTCATGTATCAAAAATGAGTAAATAAACTATTATCACAGGATTTTCTTGGGTTAGGAATTTGTGTCCTTCATGAATTCACCATTGATATTCGAAAATATAATGCAACATTTTCATTCAAACAAAAAATTGTGGAAATGGAAATGTGAACTCAAATGAATGTGTCATGATGCCTGTAAATTTTGTTTGGAACTTCGGAAATTTAGCAGGATTCTCCCACGCCTCGCTATTTTTACAAAGTAGGCGATATCTAGAGATTTCAAAACTCCTTTAAATAGGAAGTGATAACACCATTCGACTCTTTATATATCTATAATATTGCTATCACTTCAACTCATAACCAATCTTGCACGTACTGTCCAAACAGAATACAGAATTGCATAACAATCTTGTTATATGTTATGATCATAACAAGTTTGTTATCTCAGCGATGTTATAAGAAGATCAAAACAGAATCGACCCGATCGTAATATCGACACATTAAATATTAACTATACAGGACGCATCCAAGTTCAAAAACTGCACTTTTGTGCTTATTTGCTCCAGGTACAAGTGAACGTCAGCCAGACCATGGACACCAGCCACCCGCCAGCCCTGGACGACATCCAGATAGAGATGGGAAACATCCAAATCAGGTTCGACGGTCTCGGAACAGTCGACTATCTCATCGAGGCTGGCGTCAACATCCTGCCGAATGTGCTCAGGTATAGTGTTTACTATTAGCATATTCGACTGGATTGCACTGGCACGGTATAGATGCGTACTAAGCACTGCACTGACTTCGGACAGAATTTGTTTTGTTCAAATCAATCTAGAGCAGATGCATGTCGATGATTCGAATTATTCTGGCACTGTATGGATGAAGTTCAGTATTGACATAATGAATATTCGACTGGTATGTTTAGGGCAACATTCTGCGTTGATGGAAGGCTGAATCAATATATTTAATCAAAGATCTCACTTCAAAATTAACAAATTATATCTTGAATTTTGAAGTATAGAGAAGAATTACCTACTTGCGACATAATAACTTTGGAGATATTTGTGAATAATCAGAGGTTTCGATGGTGTATAGTAGGTGTAATGCAATTTTGTCATTCAGTACAAATACCTCGTATTCCAATATTTTATCGCAATTTCTGTGTATCAATAATTTCCTGCTTTCCTATTTCATCCTACTTCGATTTCATGAATTCAGAAATATTATATTATTGCTATCGACTTGGCTACTATACCACTGTTGTTCGATAATAGGCAATTAATTGCTAATAGTATCATTACATTATTACATTATTTTGGAAATCTGATTGTCAATAAACACCAAATATCTTCCAGCATTTTACCGCCCGTGACTTTGGCACCGTAAAAAATTATTGTTCGAAAACATTTGAATTAACAACGAACACTTTTTCCAGTTGAACATAAATTCTGCTCTACCCTTTAGTAGTGCCTACTCAAACCGAATAGAAATAATATTGGTACTGTCTGAATGCATACCAGCCGAACACACACGCACGACAATAATTGGAATTGAATGCGCAATAGTGCAGCCAGTCGAATATGCTATATCTCTTAGCTGAAAGCCACATTATCCATACCTAATTTGGCTTTCAGCTGAAGGACAAAATCCAGAAATCTCTAATTAAGATTGTACAGGATGTTTTATAATATGTGAAGAGCACTTCGGGTGGTGATAGGGCGTCTCAAGAGAATGAAAAAAATTCCCGTAAACAAAGGTCTATTACGCGATACAGGGTGTTAAAGATGCAAATATCTAAAAAATTTTCTCATGACCAATCAGTGTGGATTATCATGATGACAAAATTCAGTCTGTTAAATTAATAATAAATGTTTTGAATTTTCGTTTCAACAAAAGACGACACTTCTCCTCTTATGAATGTAATGTTACATTTCACAAGCTTGAAATTTCAAACTTGAGGAGGCAATTCTTTGATATCTGTTTTGTCTATAAAATTGTCAATGACATTATTGATTCTCCATACTGTACAAGTTTTTTTCTCTTTTGCGATATCTTGTGCGATATCGGCTACTATTTGTACCTGGTAGGATAACTACCAATTTCATGTCTAACTCTCCACTATATGCATGAAATTCTGTAATTTCTCAGTTAACGAAGAATTTTATGTTTTTTCGACCAAAATGAGTATTTTCAAGAGAAAGTTGAAGACCACGCTGTACAACCAATAGTAATGATTTCGTTTCTTTTCTTCTCATTTATTTTTGAATATGCAATGTATGTGTGAATTGCACTGAATATTTTTGATACTTCTTGATGAAAAATATATGCGATTATTATATTAGTATCATTATAGGGATATAAAGAAACTTTTTTTCTTCTGTTATTTTTCCAATTGTTCTCCACTTTTTATATTTATCGAAATAAGTACTTCTTCTCCTAGATCAATATGTATTTCATTTTCTTTAGGGCTATTCGAATTTCAATTTTAGTATGACACTTATAGCATGTTCTTGGTTTCAGTTAATACCTACTGTTTAAAATTTGTAACCTGTGCGAGTGGATAGCTGCTTCTATCTGTTGAATCGCCTAATTCTCCAAAATAAAATAGAATAAAATAAAATAGAGTAATCTGAACAGATGTCTTGAATGGACTATATTCGACAGCTACTTCAAATTTTGGAAGTGAGTTTGGTTATTTCGTTTTTCTCGAAAACAGTGCTTTTTCCGACAACACTGTATCTTTCATATTTTCGAATGAAATTTCGAAAACTTTCATCGCCACCCATGTTTTTTCTGGAACATCACTCATCAATACCCCTCAACAATGCCACCTGGGAGTCAGATCGACTGAATCATGCTACCGATACAATCACTCTCAAGTACTTAGTGATTCACCAGCATATCAAGAATGTTTGTTGAAGTGTCTCCCACCTATTATGAAACACCCTGTATTCGAAATCATTGTATTCGTACTTCTGTGGAAAAAAACATCATTGGATTGGATTCAGGTACCAGATTATGGACGCTCTGGAAAGGCCCATCAAGCTCAGGGTCCAGGAGGAACTGGACAGAGTGAATATCGAGGAGTTGGTGTTGGAGAATGCGGATATGCTGGATAACGTCACTGCTTTGACGAGTATTCCAATACCTGCGGCGCCGAAACTATTTCCGGATGCCAGTGTTAGAAATGTAACTGCACATCGTCCATAGAATGAATTTTTTATGAGAAATAGTTCTTTATGTACAAAAGATGAAAAATTGTCTATCATAGTCGAGCCTGCAGATTGATAGCCGAGGCCCTGTCGAGGCTAGCAATGAGGCGAGACAATAGACAGTTTTTTACCGAAGCGCGTATTACATTTTTTCGTCGACCTCGAAATTGTTATTTTTGTACCAAGAACGAAAAATTGTCTATTACAGTCGAGTATGCAAATTAATAGCCGAAGCTAGCAATCAGGTGAGACAATAGACAGTTTTTCGCCGAGGGGCATATTGAATTTTTTCGTCGATCTCAAACACATCACGGTCCTATTCACACGTGAAATCTATCGGATTTCGTGAATAACCAATTTGACAACAGCAAATGACAGTTGTTGTCAACTCACTCTCCGCGCGGACCAGGGTTGACAGTTCGGTTTCTATTTCATCAGTGAATACCTTGTCAAATATTCAGATCTATTTTTTGGTATACGAGCTCCAAGGAAAGATAATGAAATAAACTTATGACGTCAAAACATTATGTACTTTTGGTAAACAGAAAAGTAACCTGGTTTCAACAAAATAGAAACAAACAAAAAACAGGAACGAGTAGTGAAAATGAACAACGAAAATACAAAACAAATAAAAGAATTAAACGTAATGAACAACTGTTATAACGAAGGAATATAAGAAATTGAATTTGATCTGAATCAGATGAAGTATTGTCCTTTATTGGTTTATATGTTACCGGGTAAGACCGAAATTAGTGATTGTTGACATATACCGGTTAATGTCGACACACACCAAATGTATTGGTGAAAGACCAAACAATTATATTAGTTTTAATATAAATTCGGTCCTTCACCGGTATATGTCGACAAACACATGGTCGATGTCGGAAACGACGGGTCCTAACAGTTTTTTGTGTGGTTTCTTCGCTTCCCTTCGCATTCGTGTGAGCTTGTCGCCAGTCTTGCACAAGGTTTTATTGATAGTGGTATTATAATTTGTACTCGACGGCTACTGCAGTAAATAGCCAACAAAAATGGCACCTTGAAGCAGCTTTGCACCAGTAATCAATTTGCAATTTGCAAAGAAAAGTTAATTTTCATGAATGAGATTTCAGCTCAAGAAATTTCGGTAAGAGAAGAAGCTTCTGCTAATTCAAAAAGCGGAGGGCAAGGCTATACACGCTGTAACTGCAGAAAGAAGTGTTCCACGTCTGAATGTAGCTGTAGAAACAAGAGCCTTTTATGTAAGTCAAAGTGTCCTTGTAGCTTAAGTATTGTTACAATAAATGAGGTTGCCATACATTCACCTTGTATTTTACATTTCAGTTCAAAGAAATGAACGCACTTTATTTTAATATTGATAATATGTTTGTTGTGTTTGTCTTAAGTTCAACAACTCCTTTATGTTAATTCGAAAACTTCTTCCATAATTTAATCGAAATAAATAATAACCAATAGAGTTTCATTTTGTTTTCTGTCGATGAAAAATTCTTTCGAACATACACCATGAGTATATGATGAATGTTGACATTCGCCGGTGGAAGTTAGAAATAATGATATTTGATGAATATATCCTGATAATCACCGAATTTCGGACTTTCACGGTAACATATACATATCATTAGTACCTATAATTATGTGATGTATTACTTATTTTGTACAATTGACTGAAACAGAACCTGCCAAAATATCATTTACAAGTTTGTGTGATTAACTAGAGATTAATGATAATATAGGTCGCTATAATGATGAATAAGTGTCAAAATATTTTCAGGTAGGTTATGAAATGTTTCAGTAGATTAGTAGTTCAATATGCAAACCAGGAGATCTACTGAAAATTCGGTAGAACTGGCAACCCTGCAGCAGACGAAAATTTAGTGTCTGCGGACGATCGTTACCCACGTGTGTATAGTCTCGATGGTAACGGGACGATACGTACGTGCCTTCGTAAATAGTCGGTTTTTCGTTCGGAAATTAGAACGTAAAATATGATTTTTTGTAGAGGTCGACGAGAAACTTATATTTACACCACTGTCTTTTCACACTTGAAATCTATCGGATGTCGTGGATAATAAATTCGAAAACAGCAAATGACAGTTGATAGCTGTCAACTCAATCGCCGCTCTCGCACTGCATCATGAGTAATATATTCTTTCAATCTGAAAGAACTGAACTGAATCGTACTTTCGAATGACGTTCATTATGTACAGGGCTAGTTTCATTAATGTGAACCCCTTTTAAACTTTTTTGTTTTCCACCCATCAAAAACAAATTTATTCAGATTTCATACAATTATTTTTCATATTGGTTCCAATCATAGTAACAGTGTCGCAATATCTCTTCAAATATACAGGGAATTCAGAAAATATATATACTTCTTAAATGGAATACGATGTATATTTTGATGAATCCCTTATATATATCATATATTTGAAATGAGGATGAATCGAGGAATTCTAATTCAAAATATACACACATCTCATTTGAAAAAGATATACTTTTCTCTATACCCTGTATATTTGAAGAGATATTGCATCATTGTCAATATGAGTGGAATATGTATGGAAAATTGTAAAAATTCAGCTTTAATTTTTTTTTGAATGAGTGTGAAAGGGGGGTTCACATTAATAAAACTATAGCCCTGTACCAAGTGATTCAATAAGGGTGATGAGGTGCTGTGTATCTCAAGAAGTAATAGTTTATCAAACCCGAATGGAATAGATGTTTGTTTGTTTCATTCCAAACCTTCCATTTTTGAACCAGATCAACCTTGTAAGCGAAATCATTAGTTCCTGAGATCAATATCTCGTCACCCTTATTGAATCACCTGGTACAATGCATGTCAACTGATTCAGTTCAGTTCAAGTGAAATGTGTCAGATAGTTGAGAATGAAAGAATATCACTATAGTGACCACAGCGGAAAGTCATTAGACATTAGAGGAGGAAGATTGAGTGTATGCGGACGAAAAGTACATTTTTTCGAATTTTCATTCGGATATCAGTACGTGAATTGTAATTTTCTGTAGAAGACGACGAAAAATGTAATTTGATTGTAGAGGTCGACAAAAAAAAATTCCATTCGGAATGCTGTAATATATGAAAATCTATGGAAACATTTTAATCATTGTTTTATTCACCCTCTGAAGATAAAGCTTATGAAAAGGTAATATGGTACTGAACACTGAAGATTTTCATCGTAAGCTTAGGAGTGACTAGGGTCCCTTGATGAAAATTGACGTTAAAGTCATATAACAGGGTACGGACAGATCCTCGTCTCCTCTCACTCTAAAGTGTTTGTGAAACAGTTATATAGTTCTATCCTTATTCAATTCTGGGGATAAACACTAGATTTTTGACATTTGTTGTTTTCTAGGTTATATTGAGGTCACTGGCGTATCATACGTAATTTTTATATGGAATTCCTAATTCAACTATACCAAGATATATAGATTGAAAATCCTCTAGTTTCAGCCAGCATAATCTTTTGCGAGGTAGGGAACATGCTTGATGAATTGTACCAAAAGAGACTGTTCTTAGACTGTATACCAGGGTTGACTGAATTGACTGATGAATGAATTCTGATCTCAAACTGAGCAGTAGTTAATCTATGAGCTGAGCCTTTTATGATTGAGAAATGGTGAAAACCTCGATGTGAGTATCTAAACCACTGTACTCATGTAATGTGTGCTAAATATATTTTCGGAAATCGAACACGAAGAAGAATTTATGGACTGACTAATATCACACTATGTATAAAACTTCGTCTAGGACGAAAAGTAGGCTGATAAAAATTAAAAAGTAATACGTAAAATGTGCAGGGAAATAAAGAATATAATATACTTCACCCCCATGTTATACATATGATTCTTCCGTCTCCCTTAAATAAAAAGTCATTTCAAATAATTTATTGATGAGAGTAACAAACAAGTAGGTATACGCAGTATAACTTATAGGCACATTATTTTCAATCATGCATTCTACATATTTTCTATTTGTGGTAGAGAAATAATTATATAAACCAATGTCTCTCGCCATATTGGATCCGTCATCTTCGATTTTCCAATATTGACGAAACACTCATTATCTCCTACCCCGGAAACCCCCAGATATCAATTTTGAATAGAATCGAATCTTCATTACAAAACTTGTTCGCCATATGATCTTCCTCAACAAGTAAACACCCTGTACATACCTTTTATTGAAATTTTGAATGATTTTCTGTAGCGCCCATAGATGTGACGTGACAGCAATGTCAGGGATGCCAGTAGACAAAACTTAAGTCTCTAGATCATTAAAAAAGAATGCAGCTATGATCTGTCCGTACCCTGTTATATGACTTTAACGTCAATTTCCATCAAGGAACCCTAGGAGTAACGAATAAGATCATAAACTCAGGTATATATAGCTATCCCTCACAATATTCAAAATTCTACCAGTATCTACATTCTGAAATAAATTAAAAGTGAAAAAAAACTTTTTAATAAAAAGCTTTTATTTAAACGCTCTAAACAGAAGAAAATGAAATTTGTCTTAATAATTTTACCTATCAACTTATAACAACAATTTATATGATCATAAAAGTTTGTCGCACGATTCACTTGTGTGAATGAACTAGTACTTATTTAATTATGTAAAATCTGCTGATAAAATTTTTGAAATTACAATTTAATCAAATATTGATCATCGCGACAAGCTTTTATGATCATATAAATTATGTTCAATGAGGTTATGAGTTGATAGTTAAAATTATTAAGAAACATTTTATTTCCTCCTTTTTAGAGCGTTTAAATAAAAGCTTTTTACAAAAAAGTTTGTCTTCACTTTCATTTTATTTTTTAATTTCTAGTTATCGCTATATAGCTGGATTTTTCGATTTACTCTCAACGAGCCTTTTCATTTGATACCCATATTGTAGAAGTATATTGAAAATGATCATTTCGCCATCTTGGATGGTCCGCCATAATGGATTTGGAATGACGTCACATCATTTTTAGAGTTACTCTCAACGAGCCTTTTCATTTGATACCCATATTCACTGAGAGAAAACTCGAGTTATCATAATTGGAAATCTGATAACCGTTATTACGATATCTGCAATAAATAGGGGACAGATGTGTTCATTTGCTACCATAGATGAAGTGAATTTTCAGGTGACTTGTAGTTATGGCAGCTTATTCAATTTGCAAACTTGTATAAAAATAAAAACACCGCTGCTGAATAACTACTACTTGTTCTAATTTCTATGATAACACAGAATGTCGAATAGGAATTATTCCCATAATATGTTGCAGTAACTCTCCACTCTACAGTGGTTATTAGACTATCGACATAAAACAGCATGTTTTTATTACTGGCACAACCATCTTGAGGTAACGCAGTAATACGTCTCATTTTATTATAGTTATCTGATATCTGCATAAAACCTGACATTTTGACATGCTATTGTAATATAGCTAATCAACATTATTATGAAACCGTGCTTTGAATTACTGCAATGAAATTAAATATCCTATCCACACTATCACTTTTCATGATCCAAAGTTATTGTTTTCAAAAAAACAAAAAAATACGTTTAGTCTCTGAATTGAAATATTTGGGTATCTGTCGAAGTTTTTTGACATTACTCATTGATTTTTTGGAGAAATATCATCTATATGCATTACTGACGAATTTATTAAGAAATGAGAAGGAGAATACTTATATTTACCCTTCCTTCGGAGTTATGATGAGAATTTTCAATAAAACTTCCCTAACAGAAACCCAGATATTTTGATTCAGAATCTGATCGATCATTTTGTTTTTGAAATAAACCAATTTTAGGCCGTGAAAAGTGGGTATGAAGAAAACTTTTTTCATTGCAATAATGCAATGCACGGTGTATTCCACAGATCGGTTCACAGCCAGCACTGAAACAAAACTTTGCTACATCACACAAATTCACCTACAAGACACGGCTCTATCGATTCGGACGATCGAAACCATTGAACAATAATTGAACACGGGCACCCATGACCGAGAACAGCAGTGAAATGAACGCGATCTGTATCTTTGTCAGCCCCAATACTGATGAAACACTAGAGCGAAATGAGCCGAAATACGATTGTCGAATGATTGCCTAATAACCGTCATACATGTGAATTGCTAGAGTTATTCGTCAACGTACAATGCTAGAAATCCAAACAGCTATGATTATTGGGACAAACATTATCTGAATTCACCAATGAGCATAATTCACAAAACGAGCTATGTCAATAAAAAATCTAAATAGACTGGAATTTATAAAATTCTCATAATGTCATAACACACCTGCGTTATGATGGTAGCAAATGTCCATTCAAGGGTATTACAAATGAGTTAAGAAATCGCTTTTTATAATTACAGAATGGAGAGAATACTGTTGTAATAATAAAATGATCAGGAATAGGAGATTTCCTTATAATGGTTATTACAATCAGAGCTGGTAGATATTTTTAATATCCAGTTTCTCTCAGTGTTGTAGAAGTATATTAAAAATAGCTATTCCGCCATCTTGGATGGTCCGCCATATTGGATTTAGAATAACGTCACATTATTTTCCGAATTACTCTCAACGAGCCCTTTCATTTGATAGTCATATTGTAGAAGTAGATTAAAAATGACCATCAGGCCATTTTGTATGGTCCGCCATATTCGATTTAGAATGACGTCACATCATTTTTCGAGTTACTATCAACGAGCCTTTTCATTTGATACCCATATTGTAAAAGTATATCAGAAATAGCTATTCCGCCATCTTGGATAGTCCGCCATATTGGATTTAGAATAACGTGACACACCTTATCGTGCATTGCCAACCAAACTGAACGTGTATACAAAATTTCAGCTCAATCGGTTGAAGATTTCTACTTCAAAATTGAGTTCAAAGATTCCACCCGAACATATACATACATACATCCATACAAACATACAATGCAAGTTAAATAATAGTTCTTCATGTAATAAGCATCATAAAGACGATCATTATGGTACAAGTCGTGAATGTTATCGGGCGAGGCGTAGCCGAGTCCGATAACACGGCGTGTGCCATAATGATTGTTTATGATTCGTATTACATACAAAATTTTATCTGATGGCATTCATATCAATACATTTTCGAAAAATTAAAAACTGCGTTTTCGACATGCCACAATGACAACTATTTTTAAAGGAGTGAGTATTGTGTAGTTTCAAATATTAGTAGGTGAGTGAGCTGTGCTTTGCCATTATATTAATATTACAAATTGTAGTAATTGTTCTTTTACCATTTATAATAAATAGTTTTGTACATAGTTATGCATTTTGAATAAACTTTTTTGATCAAACCATTACATGTTTTCCTTATAGAATTTCATTATGGTACTTAGTACCATAATGAATTCATTATGGTACTTAGTCCCATAATGAATTCATTATGGTACTTAGTCCCATAATGATCTTCCTTATGTCATCAAAATTGAGTGACATAACGTTGTCATTATGACATGCCATCAGATTAAAGCTTTTAAAATGAGCCTTCTTGGAAATTTGTCTGTTCTTGAGCACACATCATTTTTGCCGACATTATTGTTTCATACCACCTATTGTAATTTTAATATATCAGAAATAAATTGAGATTGATCTATCTATATCTTTTCATCTATTTATCCATTGCAGATTATCATCTTTAGATTTGGAGTTGCGATATTAGAATCACATAAAAACTCACATTATTTCCACGCGACTCATAACCTTCACGTAATTATTTTTACCAGTGTCCCATAAGACGATAAGACATGTTGCAATGATGTATTGAAGGAAAGTACTAGACCATTATTGTCATTGAATTTACATTCAACTATATTCACATAGTGTTTCAATTACAGAAATCACATTACAAATAATCATTGTGCGCCATATCACCTGACGAATCATACCTCTTAGGTTGAGTCTAATCCTTGGCAGATTTTTTTGCTACCGTTATTTCGGATATACTTTCGTCACTTGATAACAAGTTGAAATTAATTGCAAATGCAATAGGATTTTCTCTCCTTCGCGAATGTTAGTGGCAGAGCATCAATATTTCCGAGAAACTAAGAAAATCATCCATTCTCAAAGTGGCCCTACAGTATTCAGGAAAAACAATTGTCAATGGTACTATTTGTTTTTCCTGATGCAACAGGTCTTATTTAGTCTGATGATGGCCGTTGTGCCGAAACCGGTCACTTTCTAATGTAATTTTTGATATAAAGTGTGGTCTACCGACTTGGAGTTTTCCTTTTATTCATGGATTTCCGAGAAAATTCCAGCCCTGTCAATAGATAATATCTGATGAACCAGATTATCGATCCGAAGGTCCATCGGATATTATCTTGTACAAAAGTGAAATATTCTCGGCAATGTTGATGCTCTGTCACTCACTCAGAATGACGACAGCAAAACAAAAACGCCAAATCAGATTGAGGAGTGAATTTTTGAGATCTACCATTCAATTGATATCGGATGGCATAATTCTTATCTCGTTATCAAATCGCATAATTTTGTGTAAATCACCGCACAATGAAAATGCTACTTGTCGATCATTTTGCTCAGAACATTGATTGGCACTTGTTATACATATAACTTCCACGTAACTCTTTCCGGTGTCCAATAAGACATGTTGTATTGATGTATGAAAGCAATAAATTACTAGACTATTGTTTACATTCAACTATTTATATTCATATGGTGTTTCTAATAAAAAAAATCACATCACAAATAATCATTGTAAGTCATATCACCGGACAAATCATCGTAGTCTTCTACGAAACTATCCGAAATCCTAAACTCTCCGTCATCTCTAAATTCTTCAATATCTTCCGTTCGGGAGGAATCGGTAGTTGTCGGAGAATCATCGTTTCTGTTCGTATGCGAAACAGCCGAATTAGCAAAACCCTCCAGGGCCGTCTTTTGCTTGTAGAAACGATGTTTCTGTTTGGAAGGCTTCTTCTGCAGTGCTTCATCAAAATCGAACTTTGGAGGTCTGTAAATAATGATAACGGATCAGGTAGTAATCAGATCAGATCAATTTTGACATCATTGGAACATCGTAGAAATGTCGGCGACCTTTCACTTTTCTATCGATACTTCCACGGGAAATGTTCTTCGGAAATCTCTGCTATCATCCCTTCACTAGCAATACCAATCAGACGAACTAGACAAGCCCAGTCAGCACATCCTTTCGTTGTCAACCTCGAAAGATGTCGAACAGCACTTCATCAAGACTCCTTCATCCATAGAACGGCTAGGCTCTGGAATTCATTGCCTGTGGAAGTATTCCCAACAACATATAATCTCCAAAAGTTAAGAAAAAATTCCAATACCTACCTCCTGTCCCTATCCTCCCTAGGAACGCACGATGATCTTCGAACTTTATAGGGATTCCATTTCGTGCGCTCCAAGCGATAAAAAAAAACTACCGTTGGTATACAATATCTAATCAGATTTTGATTATATACTCGCATTTGTATCTGAGGTTCTGGAGTATCGGCGAGATGTAAGAGAACTGAAAATCATTTGATAGCAGAATTGGAAAATGAGGCTCTACTTCATCGGAAAACGTCTTTCCATAAATATTTCTACTCACTCAGGACCGACATCAACAAATTAGTTCGTCACGCCAACATGATTCCCAAACGTCACTGCAATGTCATAGGAGTGGAGGTCTCAAGATTCCTGCTATGAATAACGTATATCAAAGTGAAGCTGACGTCGTGATTATCACATCAAGAAAACAACGTCACAGTGATGTGATGTGATGAAACGAATTCTAGTTCGAATAAGCACTCATACTCGTTTTTTTACAAAGTAAAATTTCATTCGCCTACCTTACACCATAATCTAAGATACAAATAGGAGAAGCTGAGTATGATCATGTAGAAATGCGTGCTAATAATATTGTCAAGATGTATCGGATAGGATCAAGTAATGCATGACATAATTGAAACGTCATCCATAGGTCATATGCCAGACAACAAGATGACATCATATATATGTCACATCATCGAGCTGTGGCATACGAAAGTAATGTACATGTCATTTCATGGTCAACCTGTATAGGTCGATACACCATCGTGAATGGTCGAAATGACGTCAACAAGACGTCATATCGTGTTAACTGGAAGGATAATCGTCAGTGGTCACTGACTTTCATAACAAATGAAGCTAGATAAAAGTTAACTATGGCAGATAATGAGAGACTGTGCATCATATGGTTTCCATAGCACTGGATTCAGGAAAAAATTGCTATATAATTTTTCTCGCATAATTTATATGGTTTTTGTGGTGCTGAATCTTGAAATCTAGTTATCGACTAGATTTGAATATGGCTCCACCACGAAAATCGCAATAAACCATAAAAATTCGGGACTTATCTTGATTTTTTATTTATAACTACGAAACGAAGTGATTTAGAGAAAAAATACATCAAACAAAAATGAAAGCCTATCAAATTTACTGTGAAACAAGATCAATATCGGCTCGATATCTTATTTGTACAGCCGTTAAAGCGCCCTGTTTTGAAGTTGTCCAAAATATTCTTATTTTAGATTTTAAATTTGTATACATCGCCAGGCTAGTGTTTCCTCCTAGTGTGTCTCACCATGGAGTATCCTGAATCTCCTTCCTTAACATTTATTTTATACCTTCATTTCATGATTTCATTCTGAGTCTAGCATGAAAATTAAAATTCTTTAAGGTTTTTTCTATCCTCTTGGAAGAACCCTTTGCTCTGGGGATGGTACTTGACAAACAACGGATTGATGCCAAAAACAACCATACAACCGTGTGCACCAGACAAGCTGTTGCATCTTGTTGCCTGCAAATGCATACAAGATTGTAAACGAAACTGCGGCTGCAAGAAGGCCGGGTTGTTCTGTTTCAAAATGTGCGAATGCTGTGAGGGCTATTGCAGCAACAGTTAGATGCATTCCTACTATGACGACGATCTGGATGATCAGAACGAAGAGGCTGTGCAGGACTTTGCTGGTGAAGATAGTAATTGATCGTTCACATATGTGAATATTTTCTTGAAAAACTCAATAGCTTGGTTATTTTTTCTTGAACACAATTACTCAAACGATGTAACTGTGATATTTTTCAGATGTCCTGCCTGGTTCTGGTATCGGGAATGATGAGCAGGAGGCTACTGAGGAATTGCCAGGAACCTCGTACGATACTGAAGGTATCAATATTTCTGTTCATCTAACCAACATATCAACAGTCACAACAAACAATAAATATAGATGTTTATTAATAGGTATCTCTTTCGTGTTTCAGAAGGAGAGTCTCCCAAGGCGAAAAAGCCACGAAAGAAATTTAATGAACCCTCGCAATCGACCGTTTACTGCCTCAACTGCACTAAATGCATTTTTGGATGATTGTCCATTTATTTTCATCCGTACAACCATGAATGTCTTCTACAAACAGACCTATATTATGGTTCCAATTTTGACTTCAGACCCAATCAAGGGCGCAGATTGTGGACAGTACTGTAGGCTTTGAAAGTCTGAAATACGAATATTTTGAATCACCTGAAAACTATGGTCAATCTTCAGCTTGCTCTAGCGGCTGAATCATATAAGTTAGCGAGCTGATTTTCATCTGATTTTTTTGTAAATTTCATTTGCTTTCATTTTAATCGCTGCTAATTTTTCTCTATATCGTGTCGTTTCGGAGTTATGAGCAAATAACTAGAACGACTCCCGATTTTTCATGATTTTCTGCCATTTTCATGATGAAGTCATATCCGAATATAGTCGATAACTGAATTTTCAGATGCAGCATCCCGAAAAACTTATGAATCCGTTGAGAAAAATTCCTTAGCAATTTTTTCCTGTCCAAACTACCAAATGATTGGACTAATATATGAGTACAGTTACTTACTTTTCTCCATTGACAAAAACTTTATTTTGCAAATGGACTATGTCATGCCTCAAGTCAGCCAACAGGAGAAGAAAAACGTCCAGGGACCATTTGTCACCCTTCGGACCTCTCGGACCCTTTTCACCCTGCTCTCCCTTGGGGCCTTGTGCTCCTGGAGCTCCAATTTCACCCTGAAAATGGAATTCTCTTCAAAAACTATACAGGGTGTTTCAAGAGGTGAATCAGTTTTTAAGAAATAGGATGTTGAACTCTTATTCAAACATGAGCAATTTTCTAGCAGATCTATCCAACATTGTGAGATCATTGGCAAGATGCAGTGAGGGCCCCGATGAACAAGGGGGACCCATTGCTAATATTCACAATATTATTCGTGTTAGACGTAGAGTGTGGCGTATAAAACAATTACCATGATTTCCGTAATTTGTTTGACCCGAATATATAGGAGAATTAATTAATTTATCGAGTGAGAAATCAATAACGAAATATAGCAGAGATATAGACATCATCCAGTTGGAAGACGAAACTCTACAGTTCGTTGAATTTCTGAATATAAATAACGCAGATCCAGAGCATACATTAATGAACTTCTTATGCTTACAATCTACATTTCCGAACGTAGGAACCGTTTTGAATTTTTTCACGATTTTTTTGTGCCAAATCCAAAGCAGATTATATACTTTTGATCGGTTTCATCATCCAAATGAAAGTATTTTTCATTTTGCTATTTTTATTTCGGATATATAAATTTTCGTTATTTTCTTACTTATTTCTTATTTTTTCAAAAAATGTGCGTTGAAAATGATTATATTCAACCGGTCGTAGCTGCTGAAATTGATTGATTGTTCCTATTATATTATCACTTATATTTTTGGAAACAAACAGTGTTTGAACTGTGTCTGATGGTAGCTATGTGGTCCAAAATATTACTCACTTGAGGACCTCTTTTGCATGAACATAGCATTTCTGGATCTCTAGGGGATGGGACGAACTCATCTATCATGGAATAGCTGTAAATAGAGTCTTTTTGTGTCATCTCCAAACCTAAAATTTCCAAAACAAGTGTGAGTCACTATACTGGGTATGTCACGACGAGTATACACTATCTTTATATCGAGAATCAGTAGGGAGAAATCCATGGAAATGTGCATGCTTATACATATTTCAGAATACGCTCTCTTCATTTGGAATATTTTCGACAATGCGGTGTTGCCGCTTCCACTAGAAAGTAGTAGCAACATTGATATTTTATATAAAACACCCTTTATTTTATCGCATTTTCAGATTCTCCCTGAAGAGCTGATATATCTTACTTGGGGTGTACCAGAAATGATTGCAGATATATAGGGTGTTCAAAATCGAGATTTTTCAACTTTAAGATTTTTTTGTGTCGAGACTATTCATTATCGGTCGAATCGGCTCACATGTCCCCATTTCAACTTTTGATTCACTATTTACTGATATTTAATCGGAACAGACGCAGGGTGGTTCAAGATTTAGAATCCTTATCACCCTGTATCTGTTCCGATTAAATATCAGTGAAAAATCAATCAAAAGTTGGGATAGGGACATGTGAGCCGTTTTGGCCAATAATGAATAGTTTCGACACAAACAAATCCTAAAGTTGAAAAATCTCGATTTTGAACACCCTATATAATAATAATAATAATAATAATAATAACATTTATTCAATAAATCATGACAATAAATATAATAATAATACTTAAGTAACGATGATAATAATAATGATAATTCAGAATAAATGTAGGGGACAGGGAATCTATATACTGATCCTGAAATCTGGTGACTTCTGGTTTTATCACTTTGATATTCAGGTACACTTTAGCAGGTGCTAGACTGTATATCTGAACATCGTGGTTAACCGAATTTTCCATGTTTTTTTTTCTGAGCTTGAACCAGTATCTAATTATTTACACAAAATGTTCACATAAAATTATCAAACTATTACACGATACAATAGATATAACAATGGTATAACAATAACACTACTTTTAAAATGATAAAAACAATGATAATAATGATACTTCAGAAATGTAAATATATATATATATATGTGAAAAAAAAAAAGACTAAAACTATTGGGGGATGCATATGTATATATATGTATATGCCAATATTGTGATGCTGATGATAGACAGTTATTTATTAATTATAACAATACTAGCGTTTCAGTCAACAGCCACTGTGATAGGGCGTACTTGAATGATTTGGTGTGGCAATCTATTTTGTGTTGGAGTGGTAAGTGATTGAATAGGCTTTGACCAATATACGTGAAGCATCGTTGTCCAATAGACTTTTGGACTCTTGGTAAGATTATATTCTCATTATCACGAAATCGAGTTTGATATAAATATTTTTGATTTCGGTCAATTATATTGTTTTTCAATGAATATAACAAAGAATTTTTATAAAAGAGTTTTTTTTAATCGAGTAATTCTGAATCTTTGAATAATAAATCTGTGGGGAACTGTACATTGAGTCTGTATATTATTTTTATAATTCTCTTTTGGGCAACTTGTAGCGGTTTTAGGTTGTTTTCATAGGCACCACCCCATCCAATTATCCCGTAATTCAAATGTGACTGGACTAAGCTGAAATACATGATCCTCAAGTTATTTGTATCTAATATGAATGTCATTTGCTTGAATAAATACATCAATGACCGTAGTTTTTTTGTTAAATTTTGAATGTGGGTGTCCCATTTTAAATTGTTGTCAATAAATATACCTAGATATTTGGTGTGAGTTCCGCCCTGGATTGTGAAGGTGTTTTGTTTTCTGAATGGTAAATAGAGTTTCAAGTTGTTGTTTACTGGTAGAGTATTTTTATAATTCGAGAAAGGTAGGTATATAGTTTTATTGATATTAATTGTTAGGAGATTTTCATCGAACCATTGAATTATGGTTGTGAGATCCTTTACCAATCGATGTTCTACATCTACCCATGTGGTGGCCTCCAAAAAGAGGACAGTGTCATCAGCGAAGGAAATAATTGTTCCGTGACAATTCAATGACAGAAGTTCATTCGAATAAACTATGAACAGGATGGGGCCCAAAACTGTTCCTTGGGGTATACCATAGGTAACATTTTTGTGTGTGCTCATTGTGTTATTTATTTTTACCATTTGGCGTCTATTTTCTAAGTAACTTTGAAGAAGAGAATGAGCTGGACCACGAATATCCATGTCGTCTAGTTTTGATAGAAGTTTGCTGTGGTTAACGGTATCAAAAGCTTTTGCCAAGTCGATGAACACCCCAGCACAAGGCTTACTGCTATCTAAACTCGAATATATTTTAGTCACCAATGAAGCACTGGCATCATTAGTAGATTTCCCATGTCTGAATCCGTATTGTGAACTACTTAGCAATTTCTGGTTCTCCATAAGCTCTACCAAACGCTGTTTCAGTGCTTTCTCGAAAATTTTTGCTAAATTTGATATGATGCTGATTGGACGATAATTTTCTGCCTTTTTGTGATCTCCTTGTTTAAATATGGGTTTTATCACTGCAATTTTGAATTGCCATGGGCATTCACCTTCAGTAAACATCATATTGATCAGATGACATAACGGTTTTGCAATAAATGGACCTATTTCCTTCAATACTTTTGTTGTTATATTATCATATCCAGGTGATGAGTAGTTTTTTAATGAAGATATTATATTAATTATTTCAATTTCACTCACTGGTTTTGAAAATATTGAATTTAAGTTTGTGCTGTTTCCATTTTTATTTTTCGTTTGTGTTTTACGTACGCTTGCGGTTTTAATATCTTGGGCCATTTTTTGCCCTATAGTTGAGTAGTGTTCATTGAACATTTCTACAATATTTTTCATGTTAGTTTCTGTTTCGTTTTTATCGTTCATAAGTTCTGTAATATCGATGTTGTTATTTGATGAGTTTTTATTGGTATATGCATTTACCGTTTGCCATATTTTCTTGCTATTTTTCGAATTTAATGTTATTATATTTTTATAGTATGTTCTTTTCAATTCATTCATCAGTTTGACGATTTTGTTCCTATAAGTTTTATATTCATTGAATGACTTGGTGTCTTTGTATCTTTTGTAGATTTTATATAAATTATCTCTTTCTTTCATTGATTTTATCAGCCCTTGTGTTATCCATGGTTTCTTTTTGTGATCATCTGGTATTATTTTTATTGTTGTACATTTTCCAATACTAATGGTAATGAGATCAGATAAATTATCAGTGATTTGCTGTATGTTATTATTAGTTAATATTGAGTTGAATGTGTGATTCCTGAAAATTTCCGTCAGTTTTCCATAATTTATAAATTGTTTTGTTTTATTTTCTCCATCAGGCTTGTCATGTGAAATATCATATTTGACGATAATTGGGTAATGATCCGTTATTTTTGAATGTAATATTACTGGTTTCAATGTATCGTAATTGATGTACTTACTTCTGAAAAAAATATGATCAATACATGACGATGAATTTATCTCAACTCTAGTGGGCTTGTTTATTAATGATTTAAACCCATTCTCATACAAGGTATTAAGGTAGTCATGTGTTTCGACCGAGTCACTCAAAAGGTTTATATTTATGTCTCCAATGAGAATTTCTGTGTCACTTTTTGCAGTATTCCTTAGGTAATCTGATAATTCATTGTTGAATATATTGATATCTATTTGATTGGGTTTGTATATAGCTGTAATTGTTGTTTTTTTATTATCAATTTTCAAGGTTAAACGCATTATTTTCACTTCTGAAATTGTTTTGATTTCAAATTCACTATCAAAACTTTGTTTAACATGAATGAGAACTCCATCATTCTGGTTATAATTTCCATAGTTATATATTTTGCTATAATTTTCCAAGTTGTATAGGTTTCGGTTGTTCAATTTCCATGTTTCCGTTAGTATTATTACGTCGAATTGATCTATTACCTCGTTTATCAATACTTCTAGTTCGATGAAGTTTTTTTGGACACTCCGTATATTGGTATGGAAGATTGAGAATGTGTTTCGTCTGTTTTCATAATCTAAGTATTGTTTCAATTGTTCAACATCATCTATGTCTCTTGTTTTAATTTCATTTATATTGAAGTCCCTGATGTAATTATCCATTTTGGAAATTGCCTATCGGTTTTTTTTTTGTAACAATTGAAAGGACGATTTGTTACTTACGAGTAGTTACACATTGAGGACATGATACAGTAATGAATACAATTTTATATACAAAAAAATTCAAAATTATTTGTTACTTGATCTGAGTCTTGTTTTCTCCATTCCAGATGATGCTGCAGGTGCCTGTTTGTTGTATGGAAATTTCGTAATATTTGAGTTGCTGATGGTTTTTGATGTGACAGCGTTCCTAGAATTGGATAACTGTCTTTTCTCTTCTGTTGTATCTCTTTTCTGTGTATTGGTTTTGTTCTGTTGATCTGATGTTGTTTGATTTTCGTTGGTTCCTATTTGTTTTCCGATATGATACGATATTGGGGTAGGTGTTGATGGGGCACTATCTGTTTGTTGTTCAACTGTATCTGGGTAGGAATCTGAATTTTCCAGATCTTCAGCTGTGTATGGAATTCCTTCAATGTATACTTTATTGCCTTTGATATACGAATTCGGGAGATTTTTTTCCTTGGCTAGATTCAAGTGTTTTCGTAAAATTCTATTTTCGCAACGTTGTTGGTATGTTAAATCGTTAACTATTGCTATGTTGGAGCCTTTTAGTTTTCTGCAATTTTGAATAACTTCACTCTTTTTCAAATAGGAAGTGAATTCAATTTTTATGGGGTTATTTTGGCCGTATCTAAGTGGATATATATTATTGATATGCGATTCTGAAATTTCGATATCTAGAAGTTTCTTGAGATCACTCAATACTGACTGCAAGCATAATTCTCTTTCTTCAGTACCGAAAATGATTATATTGTTCTTTCTAGCATTCCTTTCTGATTGTTCCAGTTTGGTCTTGAGATGTTGATTTTCCTTTTCTAATGACTTCACCTTAGTCTTCAATGTTTCAATTGTTAGCAATATTCTGGCTTCA